AGCCGGCGTATTGACAGCCGAAATAAGAAGATACTCGCTTTGGCCAATAACACGACCCGTGTAAATTAACACTACCATTTACACGGCCCATGTAAAAACAAAAGTACACTGCGTAATGTGGTCATGCCTTCAAAGTACAATGCTCAAGAGTCTTCGTTTACACGACCCGTGTAAACACAAGGCTTACATTTACACGGCCGTGTAAACCTCTAAAAAGCCAAAATCTTCATTTCTTTGATATCTTCATACTCGATGCTCCGCAAGTCCCAAAATTTTGTCCGTAACTCTTATTAACTTCCTCAAACAAGATCCTACCTCCAAAAGTCCTTGAAATATCGCAAAAGTGTGTGAATGAAATTGCCTCATGAAAAATCCCGAAAAACATGCAAAATGCATGAGTTTAAGCCTATATGCAATGCACTTTTATGAAATAAAGCTATAAAATGGGTGCATAAAATGCACCTAACACCAATTTCAACTAAAATGAAATTCCTAGAAATTGAATCTATCATGGCATGTTTAATCTTAGATTATGCTCTTTTATTTGTGACTGGGATATCGAGGATCGCAAACAAGATGTGAATAACCATACAAATATGCTTGGCACTCTCGATGTCATTTATCATTTCTAATTAATGTGTCGTTTAACCACACACGCTTCATTAACAATGATAGTTTTTGAGATGCCCATTAATACTCTTTATAGTCTCTATTAGTGTGTTGGTTAACCACACACACTCCATTAACAACATATAAAGCTTAATGTGTAATTTCATGGATTAGTAACATTTTCACATTTTTCCTAAAGTAACTAAGAGTGAGATTTTTTTTTTAAAAATGGTTTTGTTACTTTAATAGCATTATACCTTTAATGAAGTTAATGTCCTATCAGATCCTTTCTGCTAACGACCCTCCACCAAACAAGGAAGCCGTGGGTGAGAGTGGACACCCATTCAACTACCATTTTATAGGCAGTTTCCTTATACCCCCTTATAGTTTAATTTCGTGAATGAGGCATACTAGCGATTCGAATAACTTAATATTATACATATAGTAATTAAGTTTTAATATTATATATAAGGTGTATTTTAAAACCTTTTTCTAAAATCCTAGGTTTAATTGCAAATTCAAAATTTATAAAAATTAATTCAATTTAAATTAAACCAATAAGGATTAAACAATTTATTTACCATTAAACAATTAATCAAATAAATTTTAATCCAAATCCAATACCCTCTAATTTTGAAATTAGGGTTTGCGTTTTACCAAATAATAATTATTCAATTTCTAGGCATTTAAAACTAATAATTATCAAAATAAGGAAACCCTAGCGATTTCGAAAATGAAGAAGGAGGCTAGGGTTTCTAAAAACCCTTTCCCAAATCGAAAACCATCAAAAGGGTTTTTAATCTTATTCAACTTTGTGCAAGATCACAAAGAACAATCGCTCTGTTGTAGTTATTTTGGAGGAGTCGAGTGTTTTCAAACCCTACATGCTTTATTCTCTTAAAACACTCGACTCCTCCAAAATAACTACAACAGACACACAGATTAGCACATCCATTGCCACCATCTTCTTTATGAAACACCCCAAAAATATGGTCCCAAAAATTTCATATTCTTATGATAGATAAAACAGTATTTTCAAATGTCAAACATTCATCACAACAAAACCAATACATCAAGTGTTATCAAAATTAGAGTGAATGTCAAATGCGGAACTCTAGTGGTGTGTGAGATGCAGTCAACTCGATCTCTTCCCCTTGGAACTGGAAGTACCTGAAACCTAAACTAAAAACTGCAAGCTCAAAGCTAAGCGAGTTCCCCCAAATTACCACATACCTTACATACAATAAACATATAGTGGGCCCCGCCCGGTCATCGAGCTGAGATCGGTAGTAAATCGGGCCCCGCCCAGCATGCATATATAATATATCAAATAAATACATATACATGCAACATAGATACATAGCATACAAACAGTCGTCGGGCCCCTCCCGACATCGGACCTTAGCCCGGAAAGCATATAAACACATACACATGCAAGAGTCACAAAGACAGGTAGCATACTATCATAACATAAACATGGGTGCAAAATGAGTGCTAAATGATGATGATGATTCTAATCTTCAAGCTCTGATGATAATTCAGATCTTCAAGCTCACGTTTCACTAACTCTCCTTCACCAACTTCCTCTTCTTCTTTCTAAGGCTACATGCTACCAAAACTGAACTCCACAAGGTCAAGAACACACAAGGATGATGAGGGTTATATTTTAGGGTTTCTGAACTAAGGAGGCTGATAAGGAGGATAGGGCATGGTACATAATGACATATATATATATATATATATATATATATATATATATATGTCTTGAACCCTAAAAATTAAGGTTTTGAGTCAGCACGCGTACGCTGCGTGTACCGCTTTGTACGATGCGCGTACATGCATGGCTCTGTGTTTCCTTGTACGCCCCACGTACGCCAGGCTTACGCCTAGCATACAACTTCAGCTAGCCCAAACACATAGAGGCCCAACCTCTAAGCCCAAAATAACTTCATGGCCTAGGACAATTAAATACAAGATTAAATAAATTAGCAATACCTTGAAATCACGGATGTTACACTTTATGGTTGCAGCTAAGGCTAAAGAAAATGATTAACTACATTTTTTTTTATCTTGGAAGATGAATATTTTCATTAATTCTAGATGGTTACGTTTTTTGATTAATTATCGTTGTTAACATTAAAATGTAAACCTAATGGGTTGTTTGTTTAATTCAAAGAACCAATATTGGATTGAAATTTATGGTATGTAGGGATTTAGTTGGTTAGTACCTTGTTTGCTAGTACTTTACAAATAGTTAAAGCAATATATTTTAAAAATATATTGGTGTTCATAACTGAAGATGTGTATTTTTAGTACCGAACATAATCAATTACTATGTTTTATCATATATGTTCATCTAGGAATATAAACATATTTTATCTTGGCATTAATATTTATTTATGAACTATGTTTATGTTAATATGAATATGTTATGTCGTCTTTTGTAAAAGCACATGTTCATTTAAGAATATGCTTTGGTTTCATGCTTTATCCATTTGTTCATATGGAAAGTAAGATGACATCATTGTAATATATTGATTTTGTTTTGAATAAATGTTAAAACATAAACAATTTTTGGGTTTTTAAATAAATGTTCATGACTGAACATATATGTATGTTGACATATGAACATTTATACATGTATTCATACCTGATGGTTAGATTCATACATGCATGTTCATTACTGAACATGTATGCATTTAATCAATTTGTGTCTGATCACAACTTTCATACATGTTCATTGTTGAACATGTATAAACCTAAGCAATTTATGAACATGACCAATTTTTGATTTTGTATAAATCTTTATTTATGAACATGAATATTAATTTGCTATGAATTTTCATATATTTTCCAATGTTCATCTATGAATATCAATCATCAACCTTCGTCTATGAACATTAATCTTCAATGTTCGAATAAATGGTATAATTTTCGAATATAATTAATAAACTATTCTTTCCTTTTTGAAATTAAATTGTTATTTTATCATCATAAGCTTTTGGTCTTAAATTGATCTACCAGTTAAGAAGGTGGTTATATGGTTTTATGAACAATTTTGGTTCTATGTTGAAAAGCATATATATATATATATATATATATATATATATATATATATATATATATATATGACTTGATTATACTTTTAGTAAAAACAACTTTTGTCTTTTAACTTTTCCAAAAAGTTAAAAAATGGCTAAAATATGTTTGGGTAATGCAAAAGATCTTTTAAAATAACTTTTTGTGTAGGAGGAAAAGTTAGTGTTTCAAAAGTCACAAAATCCTATCTTTTTGTGACTTTTGGGACTTTTTAACATGGAAAGATGACTTCTACCCTAAAAGCAAATACAAACACATTTTAAAGACTATCTTTTGGAAAACGTCACTAGCCAAAAAGTCCTTTTACAAAAAGGACTTTTAACATCAAAAAGTAATCCCAAACACCCCCGTAGTACCACATAAATTTTCATTACATGATAGGCAATTTACGCCCTTTCCGCACATTTAATCCTTTTAGTACTTTTTTTTATCATATACTCACTTATAGTCGTCTGCCAATAGCTTTCCATAAAGATGATAATACTTACAAAGCATAAGTATACCTCTCGTACTCACCCTTGGAGTACAATATCTTCTCAATGACAACAGAAACATTTTTTTATTTCTTTTCACATAATTTAGGGGTCGTTTGATATAGGTTCTAACCGGGTCCAAAGAGGGATTGGGTCCAACAAAATCCAATTGACATGTTTTATAAAGATTTGAAAGTCAAAGACTGGGTCCAAAATGTGGACTCTGTCCAAGGTTTTCATTAGATTCGGTCCCCCATTTTCTATTGATGGACCGGGAAAAAGAGTATTCAGTTCACTATTTTCTTTCACGTCCAGTCGCCTTCTTCCTCCTTCGAAGCAAGCAAAGACAACCTCCACAACAGCGCATCAGGTAAGTTGATTTCTTCTTCTTCTTCTTCTTCTTCTTCTTCCTGAAATCATTATAATTGTCGATTCCTTCTAATTCTTGTCGTTGTCATCTTCGTAATCTACTCTCTCTTCATTCATTCATGCAATTTGTTTTGTGTTTCTTCTATTTTTTCCTTTGATCGGCTCTCCGATACCCGATTCTTCGGATTGGATGGACTCGAATCAGACTTTGGATCCCTAGGCGTCCCATGGTATCGAAACATGAAAAACCATTGAATGGACATCGAAGGATCTGCTTCAAGGTTTGGAAGAGTTTGTACCAATATACGAGACACGATCCAACAAGTGTATGGAATGGGTTTTGATCACAGCTTTGGGCTCTGGTTTATCACACGATTATGGCTGAAGCCAGAACTAATGATTAAAAGTGGATCTTACAAGGGACATTCAACCTAGATTTTAAGGCAAGCCATGCCAAACACCCCAATTATCTCACTTACACCTCACCATCTTGCAAAATGCCTTTTGAAAGGCCCTGCCTATGTTGATCAAAACTGCACATATTTTGCTGGAAAGGATTTTGTTGACTTTGGGAATGTTAATTGGTCAACAGTGATGAAGGAACATGGTGTCAATGATTCAAGTCAGGTTCTTATATTCTTTGATGATCATCAAAATGAGTTGAAAAGATTAAAGCAAGCACTTAAAGTTGTCTTCTCTCATCTTGTATTTGAAGACACCTATGATACTGGAACAGGATATCATTATTCCCTGAGACAACGGCAAAAATTAGATGTTGAACCATTCTAGTGTTTTGAATACGGATTGAAAGTATTTTCTTAAACTCTACTTTTTTTAACTATTGAGAAAATTGTTTTTTTTTTCACATGTGTCTTGATTGCTGTTGATGCTAGTCATTGCGTTTTTTATATATATTATATGTGTTTGCTGATGCTGCTGCTATTGTATGTTATAAATTGCGTTTTTTATATACACCTCATGTTTTGTTTGACAAGAAAATAAAAGTAAATTGTTTTTGGTTATTTAATTATCTACTTTTAGAACCTCATTCTTTGGAATTTATTCTTACAACTACTGATGTGTTATTAAATTATCTACTTTGAGGGCAATATAGTTATTTTATACAGTCAGTCACATACAAAATCAAACAGCAAGTTTCGGTCAGAAGTTAACTCAGTCAGAACTTCTAACTCAGTCAGCTTCTAACCCAGTCAGCTCTAACCCAGTTAGCAACTATCAAACGACCTACTTTTGTAGAATTTAATATATATATATATATATATATATATATATATATATATATATATATGAGTATGCATTTACTGAGTAGATTTACTTCAATATATTTAATACACATATTGGTATCTTGCCAGACATTCCAAAAATCAATTGTATGGTTGAAAGGCTTGCCCTTACCTCTTAATGCGTAAGCTTCTAACACATTATTTAGTAAAATTGACTATCATACATTTAGAAATCATTTAGCTAATTAACATGTTTAATCTTTTTCAAAGTATCCCTTAGGGTAATCTAGGGATTTTCATATTAAAACCTTTTGATATTTAAGCATTTTTCATATCATCAGTCGTAGTCACACATAGTGACGTATTTATATATTTTCACATAAAAATATTATTCACTTCGCTATGTACCCAGAATATCCACATGTGCTCACCTGGCTAGTTAGTGAGGACTAACTATTATCGTGGCTTCACCCTCGCGTTGCTTTCCAACTTATCATCTTGCCAAAACGTATTAAGGTAATATACCAAGTTCCTAGATTACTAATACATCTATCTTTATGGTCACCCGATTAACCCTTTACCGATCTTGGTAACCGTATGAAGTCTAATAATACAATTGATAAACTACTTAAACTCTGTAAACCGTTAGCTCAGTCGCCAACTTTTGACCATTCCATAACTTAGGGTTTAAAACCCTCGTTAACCGAATTAAGAATTTCACCGGAGAATTCATTTGTCCAACTTATCCTTCGAGTCCATAATAGCACAGTATCATAGACTCTACTAGCCGACTTGGGTTCTAACGACTTAATTGTAATATTGTTTTATAGTAATTGGATAAGGGAATACCTTATCTCATTTTGTGATCGCTTCCTTGCATGTCGTCGTCAATACGTATTCTCATAGACTACTATTCGATATGTAGGTGCTCAAGATTCTCGTTGGGAAAACGTACAACGAAATAACACCTCAAAATATTTATAGGTTCTGTGAAACATGCCTACATGTCGCGTCATAGAGTGGACACATTGCATCCATGTGTCACACCAAGAATTAGCTTTGTGTCCTACCTTATTGCAACGTATCCTACTACCCAGAAATATTGACGTGCCTTGTCGTTAAGTGCATGCGTCACGTCTTCGAGTTGACTTTCATAAAATAGCATTACACTTTTTGGTTCTTCATTTCCAACATTACAAATGCCAAATACTTTTAATTTCTTTCTAAAGAAGTAATAATTTTCTGGTCACTACACTATATCAAAGTAATATGCAGATACCCAGCAGTTGTTGAAAAGGTAATGAAATATATTCCACTCTCAATCAAGGATAATAATGGCGTTGAGATCATGTTTGATGTGCTTAGTCTCCATCAAGAACTAAGCAACATTGATCTATATTTAAAGGTTGAAGTCAATAGCAATAAAAATCACTAAAAGATAACACCGATGTACTAAAAGTCATACTATACATTAATTTTCAACTTTTAATATATAGTCGTTTCATTGATTTTGTTTGGTATATTACCAGTAGAATTTAAGAATCAATTTAAATAGAGCAAGAAAGGAACTCCAATTTGTTACCTCCTACGAATCATACTTTTGTCGTTCCAGAAATGATTCAGAACGAGGTCTTTAACATAATTTCCGAATTTTCGGTTGTGAATAATGGAATGGGCAAGAGATTTGACATGAATAATGAAGGAGATGAAAAATAGAGATGAAGACAAGATTGACAATTGAGGAGATGAAACCGTAGATGGAGCTGGCATTGAGCTACCTTCCAATTTTATTAGTTTAGAAGGAGTGGATGTGGCTAGTGCTTATAAATGGGGTGGTGTCACACTCTGAAATGAAAAATGTTTTAACTCAAGAGTTGGTAGAAAACTCTTTTTTTAATAAGGATGAACTTATCAAATCTATCAAGCTTTATATGATCAGGAAGCGTCGACAATATGAAGTGGTTGAAACATGTCTAATAATTTGGAAGGTACGATGTAAGTTAAGTGGCAATTAGTTGCATGCAAACGTCAACGTAGCAGGTATTTTGAGATAACATAGCACATTGGTCAACATACTTGTTTCTAGCATAGGATTATCCAAAACCATCTACATCTAGATGCAACTTTGATTTCTTAATAAACCGAAAACCTTGTAAAGAAACAACCCTCTATTAGCATTCCTACGTTGAGAGCGAAAATAATTGACAAATTAGGATATACTCCTTCATATAGGAAGGTTTGGGTAGGAAACTAGAAGGCGATTGAACATATATTTGGAAACTGGGAAAAATCTTATATTGTTTTTCCAAAATTTCTTGCTGCACTTTAAATTTTCAAGTGAGGTACTATAGTCGAATGGTGCATTGCTAAATTGAGTAATGTGGAGTAAGTGGAGAGTAATGTGGATCAAGTGGAGTTTAGACGTGTTTTTTGGTTTTTTTTCCTTTATACATAGAATTCAGCATGGCCGGTCTGTTATTAGCATCGATGCAACATATTTATATGGCAAATACAAGGGCAAAATGATGATTGCCATGAGAGTTGATGGTAACAATCATGTTTTTTCATTTGCATTTTCTATTGTTGAGAATGAATCATATAATAGTTGGTATTGGTTTCTTAATCATGTAAAAAAACATGTGGTGAAAGAACGTGACGACATTTGTTTAATATTTGATCGTCATAGTGAAATCCTAAAGGTATTTAATGAGCAAGGATCTCCATGGCCGGAGCCACATGGATTTCACATGTATTTTTATTTTATTTTTTTCAAAACACTTTTATGGTAATTTTAATTTAACTAACATTTCAAAGGATTTGTGCATGTATTTACAACTTCCACTACAAGTTTCGCAACTCACATCTGAAACTTTAGCTTACCGTGCTTGAAGTCAGAATCATGTTCGTAATTTTAACTCCATCATGGAAGAAATTGGAAAACTAAATGCACAAGTGTGTCAATGGCTCAAGGGGTATTATATCTATAGAAGGACACTTGCATATGGTAGTGGAAAGCGTTATGGGTTGTTCACCACATATATGTTAGAGATTTTTTAAGAGTGTACTTAAAGTTACTCATTTTTTACCAAGCACTCCATATGTCCTAATTACATTTTATAGTTTGGTTTACTATTTTGATGTGAGGCATTCTTTGGGAGCTGTTGCTCAAGCTAATGGATATGTCTTTACTCGCTATGTTGTTGTAAAAAAAGCAGCATCAATGTCAAAAGCTAGTGCACACATCCTTAAATCTTTGAACCGAACGAAAGGAATATTTGAGATGGTTATTTAAAAAGGGAAAAAAGTGCAAGTAGTTGATTTGGAGAAAAAACTTAGGCCATGTGGAGTGGAGCGGGAAACAGGTGCGAGAGGGCTTCCCTCTCACCGGAACACCGCACCGTCAGTGAGGGGAGCAACCTGCAGGAAGGAGATGGGGGAGGGGGTGCCGCACTCTCTCTCCTGATTCTATTGGCCAATTCTTTTTTTTTTATCTTTTTTAATATTTATAAAATTATATACTTACTAAAAAAATATATCAAAATTCATGGTTTTTAATTCCCTACAAAAAGAGTATAATATATGTATGAAATATATTTTTTTAAAAAAAATAAAAATACAGTGATTGGAGTTTCCCACCAATTCCTTGGGTTTAGGTGATGGAAAGGAATGTGAGGGAAAGGGTGGTGTGGCCCACAAAAAATGAGGGAAACTCTCCACCCATACCCTCCGGTCTTATACTTGGGTATGTGGGAGATATATAAATATTCATGTTCTAATGTATTGATGTTTGTACCTCTATTTCTTTGAATACTACGAGTCAATATATTCAACAATCCTACTCTAGTTTTGAGTATTCTACTATTGGGCATCTTAGTTTCCCCCGGTCCTTCATGAAGTATATTGGTCTGAGACATCTATTCGAGGAATGCTTTCAAATTCAAAGTTAGAATAGAAAGAAAAAGGTCGTCCTCGTTCTACAAGGCTACAAAATGGAATGTACATTAAAGAAGAAAAAAAATTTAATCTTTGTGTGTGTATATATATATATATATATATATATATATATATATATATATATATATATATATATATATATATATATATATATATATATATATATATATATATATAGGGAAGAGTTATTTGGAAAACTAAAAAACCCTAAAATCATAAAAATACATAAAAAAAATAATTAGAAATCACAAACTTTTTTTTATAGAAAAATCACAACTTTTTAATAAAATCGATGAAAAAAAATAAAAAATCAAATTTTTTTAATAAAAAAATTGGTTTTTTTTTTTTATTTTCAGCATTTTATACTAAAAGCTACGATTTTTTCATAAAACATTCAAAAAAAAGTTTTGTGATCTCTAAGTATTTTTTTATACATTTTTTAATTTTTAGGGTTTTTTGTTTTCCATAGAACCTATATATATATATATATATATATATATATATATATATATATATATATATATATATATAGGTTCTATGGAAAACAAAAAACCCTAAAAATTAAAAAAAATGTATAAAAAATGACATGTG